TCCCACTTCCTGATGTTTGGCTCTAATCTACCCTATGCTTGTGTATTCACTGTACAACTGGCACGCTGCTTGCCTGTGTCTTGCTCTGTCTTACCCAAGCTGTTGAATGCCTGGCTCCTATGAGGCTCTGTGAAAGCCTGGAATCCTTGGTGCTGGAGCTCGCTGAAATACCAGATGTGGGTTGCTTTAGGTGATCGGTGGCATTCGTGGTGGTTTTTGATACTTCATATTAAGAAGGTGCTTCTAAAGTACTTCCATCTCCTGCTTAGATTTCTCCTGAACTGGTAATGGATGAGTGCCAGACTGCTGTCTGAGGTTGACCTAAGCAGCTTTGGTGTCTGAGAGCTCTTGAGGCCATTTCTCAACTGTTGGCTTTGTTCCTTCCAACTAGCCCTGTGTCCTTGTCCCTCTACCCTCTGCTTTAAAACACTGGAAGAGACAAAAATGGCATTTTGTCCTACATTTTAGATGGTTTTACTCATCTTTTGCCAATGTTCTGTTAAATAAAAAGTTATGCCTAAATTTGCCCTCCTCTTCCTTTAGCTTTTCCAAGCTCAAACCTTTTGCTGAAGTGCATTCAATTTTTGAATTCTTTGAGCTTCTGTATTGCAGAGCCACTTGAGCCATGAGTGATCCACACAGCAGGTGAAGGAAGTAATTTTTTTGGCTAGGTTTGTTACTGTGCTTCCTCTGCTGTCCTGTCTGCCTTGAAGTGGTGAGAAGAATGCAAGAGAAATGGGTACATGATTTCTATAGAACTATGAAATTTCAGCACAGCTAAGATTTTTGTAATTTTTATTTTTTTTTAAAACATTTCAGATTATTTAAAAGAAATTTCATGAGGAACCTGATAGTAAATAAGCATTTCACAATTAGCTTCTCAATCCAAACTCTGTCTGAGGTAGTGGTTGAGGTACTGTTAACCGCATGGTGGTCCACATAGCCCAAATTTTCCAATCACTACCTCCAGTCTCATCATTACTATATTCTTAGAGGCAAAAATGTTCTCTTCTTGGCATTTGTACAAAATCCTAGAGTTTGTGAGAAAAAAAAAAAAAAAACAAAACCAAAAACTGATAACAGCTATGCCAATACTGAACAGATAAAAATGGGCTTTTGTGGGCTTACCAGGGTTTCAGGTTCATTGCTAACCTGCACGTAGAACTGTCTTTAGGACTACTGCTCATACTGTTAATCTCACTGATTTCCTATGTTCCATAATACAGAACTATTTAAAAAACAAAACCCAAACAAAACAGTAATTTACTAGGCTAGGAAGATAAGTATATTCTTTAATAAAATGGGCTAAATAATCAGAGGTATGTAACTAGCGATTAATCAGGGGAAATATGCTGCTGTACCCATTTTAACATAAATATGTTAACCCCCCTCTCCCCGCCAAGTGCTGTACTAGAAGTGTTATCTAATCTCTCTGAAAACTGTTGGGTGACTTAGTGCCATAGCAAACTGACCAGGCTCTAGACTGTGGGTGAACACAAGAGCTTAATAACCCTGGTTAGATACTAGAATCCCTGTAGGCCAATTTCAGATTTATTTCATGGATTAAGAGCTTTTTATAAATCATAGCTAATCATTTGAAGGCTAAGCTCATAGTCCCCTCATGAAGTTATACTTGGATGTCTGCCAAGGGTTGGGGCTGGGCCAGCCACTAGGCAAATGACGGATGCTCTCCCTTCCCTGAAAGGGAATAAGGGACAGACACTTAGGGATTGAAAAAGAAAACTAAAACAGCTTTAACAAAAATAATAATAATACCATGAAATATACAACCCAAATATTGAACCCAGACCCTCTTATGGCAATTATCTCACCACTGATGCTGTGGAGCAGGCACTGGGGAAGTCTCAGACTGGACTCAGCAGCAGACAGGAGCTGGATTCAAGAACACACAGATGGGGATCACAGGCAGAGTCCTCCTCGGACACTGCCCACTGCAGAAGAGAACTTTGCCTTCGTGGTCCCTCAGCCTTACACTCAACATGATGTACAGGGGATGGAATACCATGCTGTCACCTGTCCTGTCTGCTCCTCCCTGCAGGAGTAGTCTCTTACTTCCTGCACCCTCAACATGGTGCACAAAATTTAGCAGTGACCTCAATCTTCAAAAAAGCAAGTGCCTTTCTGCACACCAGACTTTGGTAGTCTCTGTAAAGACTGAGTGTTACCACTGCTAGAAGCAGACACTGTCTGCAAAAATCTGTTAACTTCAGAAAGTACAGTTAAATTGGAAAAAAAATTATCTGAAAAGTAAAATCAATTAACAGAATTAGTTCTGTTCTAGTTCAGACCAGGACAACACCTCAATTCCAAAGGGAAATAGATTCTGGTGAGTGAATAAGAGGGATGGCTTCACATAAAAGGGATAGGTAGGTGAATTTTTATTTAAGATCAGTCTAAAGGCTGCATCTGTCTTTAATTCTGTATAATAAGCTTAGATTTAAATGCCCCTTTTATCCTCTGATGGAGACCCAGAAAACAGGGATTTGATTTTTACGGTTGTAAAATTTCTGTGCTCTGTGAATCTCCCGTGAGACAAAGAACTATTGGAGAGAGTCTAACAGAAGACTAAGAAGGTGAGGGGACACGAGCATCTCTCTTATGAGGAAAGGCTGAGACCTGGGGCTACTTAGCCTGGAGAAGAGAAGGTTGAACAGGAATCTTATCAATGCTTACCAATATCTAAAGGGTGGGTGTCAAGAGGACGGGGCTGGTCTCTTTTCAGTAGTGCCCAGTGACAGGACAAGGGGCAATGTGCACAAACTGGAACACAAAGTTCCACCTCAACATCAGGAAAAACTTTTTTCATGAGGATGATGGAGCCCTGGGACAGGCTGCCCAGAGGGGTTGTGGAGTCTCCTTTCCTGGGGACTTTCAAAACCCACCTGGATGCATTCATGTACAACCTGCCCCAGGTGAACCTGCTTTGGCAGGGAGAATGGATGAGATGATCTCCAGAGGTTCCTTCCACTCCCTACCAGTCTGTGATTCCGCGACTACAGGATGTCTACTTCCAGCTAATGAACTACATCTTATCCTATTGCTGATGCTGAGCTCTCCGAGGATCTCTGTTAAGGCAGGAAATAACTCGTACCAGTCAGGAAAGATTCAAAATTCCCAGTGTAATTACTTAGCCAAATCATAGTCTCTGGAGCCTGCTACTGTGGTTTTTACAACTATTATAACAAGTTGTTAGATATGAATGAACAGAGAATTTATTTGTATTATAAAAAATTATTTATTAAAATTGATATTTAAAAATAATGGAGTAGGAAGTTTGCATTCATATAAAAGTATAGCTTAATATTTGACAACCACCACATAGAAAACTTATCTGTATTTTTTTGTTGGCCTGTCATGGTTAATAATTCACTCTTGAGGAAGGAAGCAGGGAGGAATCCACAAGAACATCCCTCTAGGTCAGGGATATAGATTAAACCAGATGAAGCTCCCAACTTAAAATTTCTTTTGTTCAGACATGTTGTTCTTTTCCCTTAGGTTTCACTGTCCTGCTCCCCTCTGAAGGAACACTTCCCTCACTCAAGGAAAAGTTTTTCATACCCAGTGATAAATTTTAGCAATTTTATTAGGGAACATGTCTACCCTATTTAATGTCATCCCCTTTATCCTGAGGTGCTAGCAGTTAGGAGTCATTGAAAACAATGTCTCTTACACACAATTTTATTAATGAAGAAAGCTATTCTCTCAAAATCATGTCCTTAGACTACAAAATAAAACTGTTTAAAGTGGTGGACTTACAGATTAATGATAATCTTTCTCAATATGAAAAGTCATTAATGAAATTTATCTTCTGTTGGCACCACAGCAAGGACTTAAGCAGCTTACTAATACTGCCCTTCTAATAGATAACACCCAAAATACATGTAATATGTTTTTTCACATACAAATAACATATAAGCTGCTACAAAAGTTACTGACTTTGCCCTCTTCTAAAGTTTTATTTGCTCTCTTTTTTCCTAAACTACATCCTGCCTGGGTTTCAGCTTTCTAAGGCAGTACTTTCTCTACTTTGATTTTTGTGGCATCAAATAGTCAGTGGTAAGCAGCTGTGGTAGCTATTTTCCTTAGCTTTTTTTTATAAATGTAATTTTCAGCAGTTCTTTGTCTGAACTTGGACACCATCTATTGTAAATTTCAAGCCAAACTTTTCCTAGCACAAACATTGAACACAAGGTATCTAGAGAAACAAAGTTTCACTGCTGGCGTGAAAACAATCTAACTACAGCTATACACCAAAAACCAAGTACTTAAGGAGGAAAAGCTCATAAATTTTAGCACTTAATTGCAGAACTGTATTTTTGAAGTGGTTTCACTTGATGTGTTTGTCTCAAAAACTGTTTCCATGCACATAGAAAAAAAAATTATTGGACAGCGAGGATACAAGCTCAGGTTTATATACTTATCTACTGATGCAAGAGCTGCAAAAAGAACTTAATTTGCTGGTGTCTTTGAAGCCAAGTCACATCAGAATTGGGATAACTGGGTTATGGTTCACCAGACCACCTCCTCGAGCTAGGCGTGCTCTTCATTCATCTCACTGGATATGGAAGCAGCAGGTTCATGGAGTAGTGACTGCAGAGACAGTCTTTTGTTCTGTAACCAACTCCAACCCTTGTGCAATATCATGTTTGCTTTATGTGGAGGCTATGATTATTTCAATGACAAAACAGGAGTTGGAGGGAGAACACAAGTATTAATCATGTTTCTCATTTAGCTGTTTTTCATTCTTACACACAAGTGTCACTTTCAAAGGGACCTTAATCCATCCAAACACAAGACTGTTTGAGGGAGGGGTGGAAAGGCAGAAAAACATAACTTCTATGCCATTGGCCTTTAGCCTGGAAAAAAACAGTGACACAAAGATGCAAGCTGTGCTACTGTTTCCAAGCACTGCTTCAAACTAGGCTCTAGCAGGACACCTTGACAGTCAGAAGCACATCCTGACACCCTCCAGTAAGAAGCAGACATCAGAGCTACACTTAAATTTGTTCTGCAACTACCAATACTATCAGCCCATGCTGCTGAAATGAGTTTCCCTTCTCACCATTTAATTCCTGTGAGATCAGTTCTGTAAGCAAGGATTTCATCTTACAGAAGCAGCAGCTCCAGGTTTGGGTTGTAAAGGAACAAAAACAACTCCTACACAAATCCAACGTCTTTTGAAAATATTTTATGTTAAAAATACAGAAAAATAGTCTTGTTCAAAGAGGAAAAATATACTGCATGACGACACTGGTCTAGGTATGTTCAGAAGGTGTCTGTGGCTCCACAACCAGTCACTGGAGTGATGACCCAATTTGGCAGCTAATGGTTCTTTTTCAACTTCTCAATCATTTATCAAAGCCAGAATCATACTGTGACAAAACAGAAAACGTTATACCAGTGGATTACTGAAGCATGTGCAAGTAAAGAACAGCTCTCCATTTCATGGGAGAGCTGCGCTCAGTTCTGAAATAGAAAGTCAAGGCAACTGTGCTACGTGCTTTGCCAAGGACAGCAGAAGTGACAGTGCAGTAGAAGAACAGTAGTTCTTCCATCTTGTAATAAGTGGCCCCACCATGGAACTCATCCATTTAAAAGACAACTCATAACGTAAACTTGGTCCTCAAGATTATTTCCATTCTAAATAGGCCACTTATTCTAGGTGCTGAAATCATGTAGCTCGTTATATTGTACTTATAGTGGTTTTGAGGCTAAGGAGTATACTGACTTTCCAAACGACGTTTGATCAGAAAGAAAAAAAGACATATAATGAGACTGCAGATAGCTGTCAGAATAGATTATGGAGGCTTAGCAGGATGCAAAAAGATGAGACACGAATACCAGCAATTACACTAGCAGAACAGAGGCTACAAAAATAGCTGGCAGACAATTCCTTTGTTCCTTGTGAGCAATTTTTGAAACTAACCTGTAAAGGTACATGAAGAAACAGAGCAGATGAAAGCCTAGTTTAATCATGGCTTCCTTCATGTGCGATTTCAGCTGGCCTCGGTTATGGATCTCTGTGGGATCAAATACCCCCATGTTGCCACTTGGCACCATAATGTACCTGAAATTTTAAGAAAAAGGAAATGAAAACCAGAATTATAGTAATCAAAACATTAGAGAGGGGAAAAGCTTGCACTGAAGGAATTTTCATCTGAAGAGCTGTTTCACAGTTCAGCATAAGGGAGCTCTTTTTAAACCCCGTTTCACTTTCAGGGTATCATGTGTACTTCTGCCACTACAGCCCACAGACAGAGTAAGGGGACAAGAGGTGCTGAAAGAACCAGCCCAGCTTCCCAAGTATAAATGGGAGAGTTTCCAGGCAATAGCCAATTCCTGCTCATTTTAATTGCTGTTTGTGGTTACTTGGTGCTTTAAAGGAAACTTCCACCCACAGTGGAAAGACGCATTAGATGAAAGGGGCTGGAAAAGAATTAATTCAGGTAATAATTAAGTGATATATTTACTAGAACTCCCCACACACAGGTAATCAAACACTCCAGTGGTCAAAATAAGATAGCATAAGACAAGACAAAGGAGCTGTGTATTATTCCCACCTTTGCCACAACCACCCTCTGTTATCTCCCCAGGAACACTGAGGCTGATAGGAAGAGAGATTGGGCAGAACTGAAGAAGTAAAGTACTGCTGTCCAAACCCAGGCAAGAACAAAAACTGAGTGAAATGTAAGCAAAAAGAAGAATAAAACCAGCAAAGCAAGGGTTTATGTCCTGTGAAAAGTCAACAAGAGCATATTCTTTTGTCATAAGTGTTTCTCAAAACAGCAAATGCAAGCACATCAAGTTCTCACTCCAGCTGAGCTCAGTCTAGAACAGTATTATTATTTCAGGTAAATGGCACAGAGGATCTACCTTCCTGGAATAATGCTCTTTCCACAAAGGAATTTAACTCCTCCTCTTACACCTGGAGCAAAAGTGAGGTCTCTGAACACTTTTCTTTACATACTTGAGGAAAGGCACTACTTGTACTGCAAGAGGCATTCCCCTGCCTCTTAGAATATTTATTTCAATAAGAGGAGAGGAAGGAAGGGAACAAGAAACAAGGAGGTTTTCTGGCAGCAGCAGGAGGCCAACAAACAGTCAGCTTAGCCCCAAGCAGCTAAGTGTTTGTCTCTCTTTCCCAGAGGCATTAAAAAGCACTGCAGGATATCTGACTGGTAACACAGACAACTCCTTTCTTTTTAAGAATGGTAACACTCGTGCAAAGCACTGAACACTGTCCTGCACGACATCCTGGTCTCTAAATTGGAGAGACATGGATTTGATGGGTGGACCACTCAGTGGAGAAGGAACTGGTTGGATGGTCACACTCGAAGAGTTGCGGTCAACAGCTTGATGGAGAGTCAACAGCTCCAGTGGAGACCAGCGATGAGTGGTGTTCCTCAGGGGTCAGTAATAGGGCTGGTGCTGTTTAACATCTTTGCTGGTGACATGGACACTGGGATCGAGGGCACCTTCATCAAGTTTGAGGACAGCACCAAGCTCTGTGATGCAGCTGACACGCTGGAGGGAAGGGATGCCATTCAGAGTGACCTTGACAGGCTTGAGAGGTGGCCCCACACCAACCTCATGAAGTTTAACAAGGCCACGTGCAATGTCCTGCACCTGGGTGAGTGCAATCCCAAGCACAAATACAGACTGGGTGGAGTATGGATTGAGAGCAGAACTCAGGAGAAAGGCCTGGGAGAGCTGGTTGACGAAAAGCTCAACATGAGCCAAGAATGTCTGAGTGCAGCCCAGAAAGCCAACCATATCCTGGGCTTCATCAAAAGAGGAGTGGCCAGCAGGTCAAGGGAGGTGATTCTGCCCCTCTACTCCACTCTGGTGAGACCCCACATAGAGTACTGTGTCCAGATCTGGAGCCCCCAACACAAGAACAACACAAACCTGTTGGAGCAGGTCCAGAGGAGGGCCACAAAGAGGGCTGGAACAGCTCTCCTGTAAGGAAAGGCTGAGAGAGTTGGAGTTGTTCAGCCTGGAGAATTCTCCAGGGAGACCATATTGCAGCCTTCCAGCACCCTGGAAGTACCCACCCACCCTTCTAGGGGGCATGCAAGAAAGCTGTGGAGGGACATTTTACAAGAGCTTGTAGTGATGGGATGAGGGGTAATGACTTCAAACTGGAAGTGAGTAGATTTAGATTAGAAATTTGGAAGAAGTTCTTGATTGTGAGGGTAGTGAGTCACTGGAACAGGTTGCCCATGGGAGCTGTGGATGCTCCATCAATGGTTTTAAAAAATCCTACATCAGTGTCTGTGTTTAAGATCAGGTTGGATGGGGCTTTGAGCAACCTGGTCTAGTGGGAGGTGCCCCCGACTGTGCAAGGAGGGTTGGAACTAGATGAACTTTAAGATCCCTTCCAACCCAAACCATTCTATGATGCAACTTAATTGCAGAACTTGGGAGGTAGTTTTTCCAAGAGGCCCACAAGCTTGTACAGCTTGTACATCTAAGGAACTGTAGTCACAACAATGGTAGAGGCTGACAAAACTCAAGCCAGTTCTCATACTCTAAACAGCAAAAATCTTCTGCAGCAAAACCACACAGAAGAAGAAAACTGTCAGCTTTGATGAATATACACATTAGTGCCTCTGGGATCTCCACTCAGTGGAACCTGCTGCCACAGCAACAGGTTACACAAGTTTGTAAGGGATGTGGAAACCCTGGTCAGAATTTTCACCGTATTTTAAATTTTTTTTTTTTTTTTTAACTCCTTCAGTTTTAAGAAGAGTCTGATCTACCTACAGACACAGCAAGAATAAGGACCAATTAAAGACCTATTGTCTTAATCAGGTCTATATAACAAAGAAGAAAGGGAAGAGTTCAACTTTTTCAGAGAGTTGCTTTCTTTTTGTTTACTCACATTCAACATCTCCTTTGTAATTCTTGTTTCTTTTATATAGTAGCAGATCTAAGAAATATTTAAGAACTAAAAAAATATTTCTAAATATGATTACCTTCAAATATGCTGCTTCAAAGCTATCTAGTTTTGCAGAATGTATGACAAAATTATGTCTCACTGGAGATTGCATAAGACACTACAAAATTCAGCAAAAAATAAACCAAATTAATTGAGCATCTGAGTATGCTGAACAAGAAAGGCCAGTAGGGTGTTACAATAAACATGCTGCAACTTTGTAAGTCTCCCTTGTTGATGTTTTTGACCAACTTATCCTTCCTGGGATTTGTTTCTAATGCCGCTTTTCACAGGAAACCTCTCTACTCTCACTGAAATTATTGAGATCATTAATGAATTAAGCCAGTACCACCTGTAACTGCCATGGATGCATCAAGATTAAGCAGGTTTTGAAGAGAATAAGAGGAAGCTGTTATCTTACCTATTATCACTTAGATATACAACAAAGCACAGGCTTCTTCAACCTCAACACGATTCTTTTCCTTCCTGTACTCATCTTGGCCTAGAATGATAACCTTAAACCTTTCTAAATTCATGTGCAGCAACAATTAGTCCAGAAACGGGTTCTTGAAATACTATAATACATGAAGATTCAAACCCATTCAGGTGATGCTGGAAGTCTGCAGCTCATGATAATGGGTTCACTATTCATCTCTTCCCACTTAATCCTAGTTTAGTAACTGACACCTTCTCCTCTCTTCAGCATATTCAAACTACTTTACAGTCCACCATTCTTTTGACTACCATAACTTTTGTCCATCAAACCCTGGATTGAACGTAAGTCGTAGCCCAACCAGATCTCTTTTATAATGCTAAACAACACACTTGCTTTTGCAGACCTCTAATTCCTTCACTAGAGGTCCAGGCTATTAATGTGGGTGAAAGTTCTCAATCCTCAGAAAGAAGGCAGGATTAGCAATACAGGCTTAACATTATGACTTCTTGTGGCAGGTCAGGCAAAGTATCATATTTGCATACTCATTTATAGCCTACACTGCACATCTGAGAAAAAAAACCTGGATTTAGCATATTCAGAACACCTACCCTACATACAACCAATACAAAATGAGAGCTGTCAATTCAAAATAGCAGTTGAAAATGTTAAATTTTTTGAACAGTCAAAACAGCTCACTGCCTGATGCGTATAAACAGAAACTCTGTACTTGCCAGTAGATGCCAAAGGGAATATTGGTCATTTCATACAACAGCACAATAATATGGTAATGAGTGGCCACATAAAACCATCCCTATGAATGTGTACATGTAGGCAACATCTGTTTATTAAGTGTACAAGTTATACTGTCTCAATGTTTCTCCAGCTTAGAAACATTTGAAGGCTTTGCTAGCAGTTTTGTAGAAAACAAGGGTGATAAATATATGGTTATTTTGCCCAGGAACAATAAGGTTATCACTTAAGGGATCCTCAACTTCTTTTTAATAAGTTTAATTTTACCAGCAACTCGACCCATCCCTGAAAATAGTTAGTGCCACCAGATTCATGTGAACAAGAATCACAGCCAACTTTTCATACTATATTTAGAGAGAATTTGTGACAAATCCACACTCAAGTTTTCATTAGCATGCCACCTGTAAAGGTTCAATTCTCTGCACATAAAATCATACAAAATAAAAAGAACATTTTTGAACCAACAGTCTCAACGTTGCCACAAGGAAACCCCTACTGCAAAGCAGCAGATGGCCCAGAATACAAAGACCAGTAACACAGACCATTCCCATGAGAGGAAAAGTCTACAAACCTTTCCAAATACAAAGAAGCAAGATGGGGGACCAAAACCAATGCAAAAGAGAACGAAGGAGGGTGTGGGGGATAACACCACAGCCTGATGGTTTTACAGCCAACGGCCGTGCCGACCTCCGTACTTTTACACCGGTATCACTATCGGGCGTGCAGGCACAGCATGAGAAACATTAACTGCTATGTTTGCAGTACTATCTCGTAATCCCAATTAACATGCTATTATTCCCTGTGAACTTGGGAATGACTCGCAAATCGAAATTCCTAAGCACTAGGGAGAATCCAGGGAAAGGCCAAGAGTTTAATATCCCTCACACTGTTGGGTTTATTGTAATTTTAATTGTGAGGGGAGTCTTCTGTTAGTTAGACCCATGAAGAACACAAGTGAAACAAGAACAACACTTCAGGAACACAACTGAAACATCCCTTCATGGCATATTATTCATCTTCACACTGCACTTAAAGCTAAACAGTGAAGAGAGGAGAAAAATGGCTCACAAAAAACCTCTTTGCACTTACCTATATATATTCCATGTTGCTACTGGCAAATTAAGGAGAAAGATGAACCAGTGCAATGAAATAAGCATTAGTACGGTTACAACAGCATGGCCAATCACCTCAGGGACCACCCACTGCAAAAAGGGAAGAAAAGAGTTACAATCACAAACAAACTCCTTTCTGAAAGACAGATCTATCTCTATGGTGTTATCTTCTGACTCTAGTCATGTAAAACTCAGAATAATCACAGCAGAATTTGGTGTGATTTCACCACAATGTGGGGAAATTCATACCTTCTGACAGATTACATATGAGCAAGACAGAAATCAGGCTCTAAGATATTGTAACACGGTTACTTCATCCAAGTACTACAAAAATCTCTGAAGAGAACCACAGCAGCTGTTTGAACACAACTATATTGCACAAGCGCTTAAGAAAGTAAGTTAAGAAAGTATATGGTGTTTATCTGAAATCACTGCAGAGGGCAGTGGATTTAGGAATGAGAGAAGCGGATAACTGAAATCTGCACAGACAGAGGACACACAGACACCCTCAGGCTTGGAACAGATAAGAAAGTTGATCTATATGAAAACTGGCATAGTTAAATTGGGTCACCCTCTAGCAATATCTCATTTTCAGCTTGGTAGTAACCTGTAGCATTCACTCTTGCATTTAGAAAGAAAATATTTTAAATCAAATTGAACACCCATGTGGGAAAGCCAAAGTGATTTAATGAAATCAATTTTAAGCAGATTTGGTTGAAATAGTACTTTTCCTTACCACTATAAAAGTCTCTACTGTTCAAGAAAGTTTAGAAATTATGCACAAGCATCTCAGATAGCTGCTATAAAGATCTCAGAGTTCAGTCACGAGTAGACATCCTTGGTGGGGCACACCTACAAGAACAAAAGCACAGAACTCTAGAGCTCTGTGAAGAGTTAAGTCTCAGTCCCACAAATTCAGAACACCAAGTGTCAGAAGAACAGCCTTCCGTGACTGAATCTGCTGAAAGACAGGCATCTGAAAAAGACAAGCAGCCTGAAATAAAGGATACATGCAAAATACTGCCAAGCAAGGCTCTTCAGATATACATTACACCCCTGCTACTTGTGATGCTAAGATGAATGACTGTTTTCTTAAATGACATTAAATACAAAGAACAATAATTTACTTTATTGAGTTTTGAGCAGCACGACCTAGCGTTAATATAGTCACATTCCAAATCTGATAGTGTAATTATCTGACGTCCAAGATAAGGAAAAAATGTATTGCAACTCAGAAACACAAAGCTTTATTTTTATCCAATAAGCTGGGGAGAACACTCTGCTCTCAGCATAAACAGTCTTGCCCTACAGCTGATCTGCTGAAGGCATATTTCAACTAGTTACAGCTCATTCCTACTTAAGTAGAAGTTAGGGCACATTTTATCATCAGATCAAGTGATTTTATGATGTTTTTCTAATGGCAACTGTTGCACAAGTGCTAAAGTTCAGTTCAACACTTAAAACAGACAAGGGAGGCAAATTTAATATTTTTACTATCAGAATTTTTGTTACAACACTTGAAAACAGAACTTAAAAGGAAGAGAAAGTTAATGTGCTTTTTAAACTCTCCTCACAGTAAAGGTAAATAGTGCAGTTTTAAGAAGTGGATCTATATTTTTTAAAATTACAGCAACATTGGATTAATTCATACTTTGCTAGGAAATACAAAGGTAACATCATTCTGAAATGAACTTGCCAGCAACTAAAATATTAAGATTTCAGACTGAGAAGTCTTCTCAAAAACGGCTTAAGAGGAAGTGTACATATCATAATGCTATATCCTGTAAAGCTTATGCTGCTCCTTTTCTCTAAGAAAATGAAAAAGCATGAGATATTTTTTCTATCCCTAAAAAATGGGTAAAGCCCCTTCACTTTTCAATAACCTAACCCTTTAGGATTAATTTCTTTCAAGCACTTCTGTACTTTTTTCTGTTAGAATCATACAGATTCTTAAGTAGCACTGGGATTTTAAAGAGTACAAGAGACAATTATGTTTTATGCAGAAAATTAAGAAAGCCATATCAGTACTCTTACATTCTATCAATGCCAGCAAGCAAAAACTGCAGGCAAGTTTGTAACGATGAATATAGAAATTCTGTTTGCCAAGGAACTCGGGCTCCCAGCTACAAGTCTGTATCTAAACTAGAGTAGGGCATCCTACAATCACGGGACTATCGCGTGTTTGTTGAGGCCTGTGCAGTTTCTGGGGGCTCAAAGCATATTCCGAGCACTGAACAACTCGCCGTTTCCTCCCAGCGAGGCGCTCCCACCTCCCCAACCCCACACCCATGCTCATGGTGGTTGCCGCCCCGGACAACCCCC